GTAGGATGAACGTCTTGTTGAATGGATTAATCCGATATATCTAGATGTTGGTGTTGTATCGGACATACGAGAGCGTTTTGAGGATGAATCTGAAATAGAGCTTCAAGACTTCCTCTTGGTAAGAACTAAAATGCGTTTGTAGCTTACAACTTGCCTAAATGTAGTTTCATATTTGGATTTTTGTTTTACTTGTCATGTATGACAAGTATATCGTTTGTGTTTCGTTTGTTCGTATTCTTTTTGCTTGCTTGATAGTTTGTTTTTGTTCGGTTTCTTTACTTGCTTGCTTCCCTGCTGGTGGAAGCAACTTCTTCTTTCTTCTTCTTTTCTTGTTTTTTGTTTACTTGCTTGCTTGCATCATGGTTCTTGTTGTCTTTGTGTTTGTCAGTTTGCTAGCCGAGGAGTACTAGTCTGTTCGCTCTTATTTTAGTTGTGTTTGCTTATTACGTGCGGCAATTGCGGCATTGGCAGTCTTTTCTTAATGCAATTACAATAACGATATTTTTATTTCCAGGAGGAAAAATACGACCAGGTTGTAAAAGCACTTCGAGACAGCAGCCTTCACTGGCAAACAATTGGCCCGGCAAATAAAAGGTYCTGACAACAAAAACATTTGTCCACAACAAATAACCCAGTGTAGTTACTGAGCTGAGAATGTCCTTGCTTTTGCGTTCCACAGACATTATGAACGCGCATGTCCAGATACTACCCAGGCTGTTCTTCGGGAACTGAGTGATATTCTSAAGTCCACTTCGATGTTTAAACTTCTTAGAACATTGACAGGCCTTGACTTGGCAGACACACCTCTCACCGCTGAAGAAGATGATAAGGTAGAGGTTAGAACAGTTTATACTAAAGTGAGTGAGGGTGGAGTGGAGTGGAGGTTTCCTTAGAATTGCCTAACACTATCTCTGAGTTAAAAAGGGTGATAAGGTCAGACATGGAAACCTACTAAGCCGGTTGGTTGGTTGGTTAATGGAATGATTGAAGGATGTATTGATTAAGGGTTGAATGACATTGTGTTTGAAGAAGGCGGACAGAATAGTTTATAGTAAAGTGAGTGAGGGTGATTGAGCGAGTGATGTTCCCTTGGAATTGTCTAACACTATCTCTGAGTTAAAAAGGGTTGACTTGGAAGGTCAGACTTGGAAACCTATAGCCGAACGTTATACTAACATTGACATACCTCAGGACGAACAAGAAGAAGAAAGACCTTCCCCAGTRAATCCACGCTGTCGGAGTGAAATTCGGCGATGGCGCCATGGTAGTTACACACTAGTACACGATACTGACCCCGAGAAGGCCGAGTATGCTCTCGATGCTATGCTATTCTGCGGCTGTGAAGGTAAATAGGTTTTCTTTTTCAATAAATGTTTTTTGGGGTCGACCACTACCTTGAACGAAGCTTGTGATCGAGACAACAAAAACAAAGAATTGGAGGATTACATGAATGTCAGGCAATGTCTATTGTTCTACTGGACATCTTCGGTTTTTTGTATTGCCTGTCTCTCTTTGTTATTTTATCAAATCACAATCTTTGTTTTAACAGTAGTGTACACCCCATTTTTTGTCGCATATAAGTTGTAAGAGCCTGGTTTACAGGACTGACATACAAAACGTAATTCAATAAACCAGTACACTGTACTCCTCCCTGACTACGGACCTGGGAAGGTGTTTTTTCTTTACCCTTTTTATTCTGTTATGCATGCTGTTGTATGCTTGTGTCGATATATCTTTTGTCGCACGTTTGACTTCATTCTTTTGTCATTTCTTTTGTTCTCGACCAACTAAAAATCATGCTTCTCGTTCTGCGTATGTYGTTGTGTAAACCAGTCTTAGACTCGAGTTGAAATGTCGATTATAATCGTCCATAATGGCGGTTTGTGATTGTTTTAAGGTTGGAACAGTGACCAATGGGGTGGATTTACATCATATCTAGCCAATGAGGAAGATGAGGAGGTAAAAACGATACAAATCATAGATCAATACCATCATTCACCTGCTAGCAGTGGCTTGTATACTATTACAACTTAGAAAGCCCTTAACAGGATCAGAAAGACGAGTTTTCAGTTCCACTCCAAAGAGTAGCACGAMCCYTTTCAAACATGGCCGGCTTTATYTGATTTCAAYTGGACAACCAGCCACAGACCTACTTARTGATTTTATTTYCTTTCYCTAGCTCCTTTCWGTCCACCCATTGGCAAATTCYCTGGCTTTAGTGTATCGCGATATGGACACTCTGAAGTTCGTCAAACAYGTCAACTACAGGTCTGTCAATGATTCAGCCTCGTCACATACTGGACAAGGATTTTGTGATTTCCAYAATGTCTATTACGAATAGATTGTCAATAAGAAGAGTATAAACTGTTTTCAAATCAATAAAAATGAACTTTATATTATTATTTTGAAGTTTTATATTGATTTAACCGGAATATTCGAAGTGAACCACCTATCTAAACACTAAGAATTTTTATCAGAAGCCTGTCTTCTTCGACTTCTGACAAGCGGTAGGTCTTTACTTTAACTGTTCCAGTCTACGATTCCAACAGAATTTCAGTCAAATCGAAGCTTTTAAAATCTCACATTAAACTTTTCACTGGACTGTGGTCGCGAACCAACTCAAGCTCTAGTTACCGTCTGAGTGATCTGTACTCGTAACTTCGTTTTGTTCCAGAACTGATCTCAGGGGTGGACCCCCATCCACCTTTCAAAGCCAAAAAAACGCGAAACCATAGATTCAGTATATGATATCATATTGACGTCATATGACTTCATAGTGACAATTTGGTATGTAAGGACCCCCAAATGAATCCTGGATACGCCCCTGTCTCAAACACTTTCTTTGGTAAGACAACCATGAGAGAACAATTTCTTAGAAATATATTTTTATTGATTCAACAAATTTTAAATTTTGGGAAAATATAACATTTATGATTATTTCATTTTGAAGGAAATTAAATCCGTTGTTTTTTTTTCATATATAAAATTCCTGCTATAACCACAATTTCGATATCACTAATTATTTTCGTTGAAATGCTATATATTTACAAACATGCAGAATGACCCCCAAAAAACAATATATCTAACATACGGGTATTTATCGGTACGCAGTCACGTGATTGACCAGTTCTCTTTGACCGGCAGCTCGGTAAAGTGAACTGCTAGGGAACTAGTATGAATTGAACACTCGGAGAATGTTATAGTCAACTTTCGATATTCTGMTTGAGTAACCAYGTACAAAAGAATTGCAGACRAGGCTCTGCGTAAACAATGGATAATCTTATTGAATTCTTTCATTTCTCCGGAACTTCGTATTTATTGCTTTGCGCATGGTCAATGAAACAAATTATCTAAAGTCGGCTATTAAATAGTGAAATAGTTATCCACAGGCAACTCTTTTTCCTCCTTCGGGCTTCCTTTGTAACGGTCATTTTGACCGCTAGGGAATAGTGACGAGAGATGAAAAACAAAATTCTCTCGCTCCCATTCTCCCAGGAAGCCCATGATTCTTAGGGRTGCCTGTGGAGKAGGTTAGGTSTGWAGTATAGAAAGTAATTTTATGATAAATCTTCAAAAACTAAATAAACTTGAGTTGAGCATTAGTGAATTTGTGCTACTACAGACGAGAAAGTTCTTTCCGTACCAAAGATCATTTTTACGTTAAACAAAACATAACAAAGTTTACTATCTAACTAGGTAAATAACAATATAATAATTGAACGCAAAAACGTATACTCTATAGACTTAAATGTTAAGAAAGATCTACCTTTCATATAAAGACTAAAGCGACTAACTGGACGCATTTGTTAATTGATATCATACACGGCACGTGACCATCGTCGTAGCTGTGACGAGTATTTCGGCTCGTTTACACTTGCGATTTTTGTTTAAGGAATAAAAGACGAAATTCCGTGTTTGATACTCTGATCAAACTTTTTTTTCCAGCTTTTCGAGTGCTCTCCCTACATYCCAAGTGTTTTGATCAGAGTATCAAACACGGAATTTCGTCTTTTATTTCTTTTCTAAAATTAAAAGAGTAAGAAAATTGTAAAGAATTCTGACTTTTGATACGATATGAAACGAGCGTGTTTTGATACTGTTAATCAAACATGGTTTTCGACCAATCACAGCGCACGTAGTATCCTAAATATTTTAGAAACTCATATAATGCTAAAGAATTAACTTAAACGATTTATCAGTGCACCGAGATGAGCTAACTAAGCGTCTCCTTAAAAAGATAAGACAAAATCTATTATATTTTCTGCAAATCAGTCCCGAAAAATCTTGCGGCAAAAATCGAAAGTGTAAACATGCCTTAAGAAGCTAATAATTTGCAGTTCTCAACTCCCTAAGAGCGATTCTAAGTGGATTTTTGATCAGCTTTGTACAACATAGAGACCAATTCAGTTAAAATTTCAAAAGGATGACCAATCTTTGTAATGACTTTAAAGAGTACAGACACAAAAAGCATGCTGATTATTTCGTTACAGTTATTTCTAAATTAAGCAATAGCAAAGAAGAATTATAGATCAAAAAGGATTATTTTTAGTATTTTGAGTGCTTTACGTATTTATAATGGATTCTGTTGGTCTTTAGTAAACCAAAATTGTTTGATCTAGCATACTGGATATCCAGTCCGAGTATTCTGGCTTTTCCAAATCTGTCTTGTTCGATTTTTTTTTTACTATAAAAATCTTACTTGGTTGTTGCAAATGGTGTTTTTCCTTCCATGATACTTCGCCTTTGCTGTTTTCGATACCATTTGCTTACTATACAATTACAAAAATATCATTCTCTGTGTGCCTACAACAGAAAATTTCTCTACTCTGAGAACTCACTTCTGTGAGGTTAAAACTCCATTCATGAGCTTTTCTCGTTCTCTGTCTTTTTCAATGTACACAATTCACAATGTAACTTTTTTGACTTCTTGGTTGTTCTTTCACGATAAAATACTTCTCCTAACCTTTCTGTCGCCTTCACTGTATACAATTTCCAATTTCACTAAGCAAGAGCAACTCTTTCTCTTCTTCATTATCGTCTTGTAATTTTTCTTCTTCGGAGATATAAAATTCTTCTGATTCATAATTTTCTATTTAAAATTTGCATAATCGTTGTAAGCTTCTACGAAGAGTCGTACAACGTCGTAACAGAACTTGTATTGCTCCTGAAARACAAAGAMATTGAGTTGAGRAACGTTTCTGCACAACGCAGTGCTCGTTTTATCATAAGGCCGCCATCTTGAATTCTATTGCTTTATGTAATAGCGATATTTATCATATAATTATTTATAAAATACCTATATTTCTTTATTACGTAAAGTTTTTATTTTTGCTAGTGAAAATAACAATGTTATTTAACATAATAGCACATTCGTGGTATTTCTATATATTGGAGGTAAATTAAAAGTTATTTTAAAACATAATTTGCAATCATTGACAATTTTATTATATACAGAATACTACATGGTCGCTTGAAGATACGAATGTTATCTACTCGTGCTGAACATTTTGAAGATCTTTTTCAACACTCGAAGTTAAAATCCCTATCCTCACGCGTCCATGTAATATCCTCTATGTATCTGAATGTTTGGCTGTGGACATTGTTCTATAACGCAGAAATATCACAAAGCGCAGTCGAGTTATTCATACCTCTGTTTGGACCATTAGTGGACGCTGTGTTCTTAAGTTTCGAACTGTTTGAAACATATCAATGGTACCATCTAGTTTGACTCGCTCTAGAGCGATACTTATAGCRCAGAATGTACCGGTACGACCACTACCATCACTGCAAAAGTACCAAAGTATCATTGTTAGGACATAAACATTAATAGTTAACAATAATTATTGATGATTAATAATGGTGATTTACCTGCAATGGACTGTCATTGGTCCATTTCCAGTTTGTTGCTGCGCACGCGCAATGTGCTTCAGCATATCAATAAGCATTTTGCCATCTTTCGGGACACCGCTTTCCTCCCARTTATAAAATTGAAAGTGGAATACTTTTCGTACTTCTCCACTCTGAAAATCAATCAATTTATCAATCGACCGACCGACCAACCAAATTCAATCAACCTATCTGTCAATCAATCAACCACCGATCAATCCGCAATCGATCAATCAATCGACCGACTTAACAACCAAATTCAAACAATCAATAAATCTATCGATCAATCAATCGACCTACCAACCACTCATCTTCAATGAAGAGAAAACTTTAAATGCATTAATCAGTCAAACTGATCAATCAATCGACGTATAAACCAAATGCAATCAATCAATCAATCGACCGACCTATCGACCGACCGACCGACCGACCGACCAACCGACCACTCTATTTTCAATAAAGAAGAGAAAACATCACCACCACGTCCAAGGAACTGGTGACTAACCTTAGTATTTGTAACCTTAAGAAGTCTTTTAGAGTAGCCATCTTTATCTTCACGTGACTCGATCTCGACCATAAGCAGACCGTACACCACAAATTCACCCTTATTTGGAAGGTAAGACTGACCCTATCATGAAAAGAATACGGCTTATTGTCAATAAGGAATTTTGAATTCTATACTTCTCAGTACTGAATCAGTAAGAATTATGTTCAGTTAGAAAGTATAAACTTAAAGCTTTATATCAGCTAATGTCAAGTTAACATAATACTATATAATGTCAATGATAGATAAGTTGTTTTAGAAACTACGAAATGTGTTCTAAGGAACAACAAAATGATTCGGGTCTCACTTTTCAAGATGGCGGACGCCCTGTTTTACGAAAGTACTTATGATGCATGTATACTTTTCTTCACGGTTAAAATGGCCGCCCCTTTAATACGGTTACTTTTCGATATTCCCTGAGCGGYCGGATTGACGARGTTCCACTATACAGCTTAAAGACGACAAGAAACTAAAGGATCCTTAGCCCGAGTTTCTGTAATTTTAATTTTACCTTATCATTTTCAATGTCCTGGTTAAGCATGACCAATGAGTAAGATTCGTATTCCCAGATCATTCGCCACAGTTCCCCAAGCGTGCTTTGGAGTGGGGACTGGGTTGCTAAGAATGCCTCGCGCTGTTGGTAACTCTGAATCACAATAAAAAACATTCAAAGTTAGTCATGTGCATAAGTTGAGAGATTTGAAATTAGAAACACCAAAATTAGAAAAATAGAGGATATTACACGTGCGTGCGGAGATACGGATTTTATCTTCCTCGAGTGTTGAAAAGATCTCTCACGAGTGAGTACCGAAATTCGTATCTCCAAGCGACCATGTAATATTCTTTTTATCATATAATTGTATATAAAAGCAAATTATGTCTTAAAATAGCTTTTTTCTTACTTCCACTATATAGAGAAACCCCGAATGTGTTATTTTCACTAGTGAAGATATCAAGTTTACGAAATGGAGAAATATAGGTATTTCATAAATAATTATATGATAAATCTCTTTATACAAAATTCTGTTGAATGAAAAAACCCTTATTTTATTAAATGCACCTCAGTTTTAACTGTTCTTTCCCGGCACAGTTTCATACTTACATCRATAAAGCTTGCGTTGATATAATCCGATCCAATAACACCAGCGTATGGCCATAGTTTGACTCTTGTTCGGTCGTCTAAAAACAATTTATTATAACTTAGCAGCATGCACTAGTTTGTTGTTATAGAAGCATGTGACTTCAAATCCAATTTATCATTAATTGATTATAAATCAATTAAAACAAATGCGATTAGAGAGATAAAATGCAGTAAATACTCACATGGTAGAATGGCGTGTCTATTCTTTGATTTATTTTCAAGTAAAGAAGCAGCATCRAACGTATCGGCTTCGGTATCACCAATATCAAGATTCTAAAAGTAGTTAGAAAAAGTATGAGAATAAATAAAAAAAAACCCGCGAGCTAAAGGCTCGCTCGAAACACGTTTTGCCAGTTCTAGTTTCTTCAAGGCATCCAAAAACAAGGAAAAAAGCGATTATATGGATACTAGGGATAAGACATACAAAAGGGTCAACCAGTTGAGCAACACTTGTGAGAGGACTACATTTCCCATCATGCTTTACGGTACAAAATGGCGTTGCTTAGCATTACTAATTGACATAATACAAGTGTTTAAATTTACCTTAAATTCTTCAACCATAATCGGTTCGCCCGTCTGTGGGTCTATTGACAGCAACTGTTTTAATTTCTCGTGTAATTCTTGGACTTTAAACTCTGTTGAACCGCATTTGATCGCTTCCAGGAGAGCATCGTAAAGGAATATGTACTGAGCCTGGTATAACAATTTATAATCTTAAAAACTGACTACATTATTCTCACTAACGTCACGACGTTGCATGACAATCAAATCAATACAAATTCACCTAAAATTCAATGTTTTGCGCGACAGTCACGTACAAAGAAATGTATCGTATTGCGTGACGGTCACACTAAAACAAACCTAGTTAATGAAGCTGTGACAGCTACAATTTTTGCCTTTCAATGAAAAAACATAGCATAGGTAATGATACCTGGTCTTTTCTCACACGTGACGCAGACATATATATATATATAGCGTCATACTGAATGACGTATGAATGACGTCATTGTGACGTACCTCTGTCTGGACCATCAAATTCCGTTGCTGCCTTATATGATTAACAAATCCATAAGGATCCACAACGCACTCACTGGCCATTTGATCCATCATGGCGTCAAGAACAATGTAGGTCCCAGTCCTTCCCACGCCGGCACTAAAAATGAACACAAAAGAAGCYTTGGTGAATTTAGCTCATCTTGTTTAACGCTGGTTTCGATTATTATAAGATGTCACTCGCTTTCAAGTAACATGGTCCACCAGCATCCCTTTCGAGCTTTTGCTCATGTTTGAAAATAAAAATACACCGTAATATAAACCAAAACCTTACTCGTTATTATCCCTTCAAACTATATGAATGGTGATGTAAGATTCGACCTTTAAACCGATGGATGGAAACGGATTGCGAATGGATATTTGAAATCACTTCATTTTCTTCATATCTAAACACGACCGCACTGAATGCTCAGGTGGACCATGTTCCTTTAAGACTCATGAATATCCGAAAACMGCGCGATTTTCGCACGATATTTCTCTTGAACAAATAAGAAAGCAACTTACAACAGCAGATCGTTTTGAAAACAAAGCAAACGATCGCAAAGTTTCTCGAATGCAAGCATTCTTTGAAACAAAACTTGATGCCAAAGAAACTGACATGAGATCTAAAATGGCCGTGGCAACATAGTTATGCCCGAGTCGTGCAGGGTTACTAGGGTTAGAATTAGATGAACGTGTGACATGCGACTCACCTAATGGTTGTGTCGAAAACAGAAGAGAGTAAGAAAGGATAAGAAGAACAGTAAGGCATGAAGGAAGGCAGAGGAGAACTGCAGATACAAAGTAAGAGGAACAAGAAAGAATGAAAAAAGATATAATGCTATGGTAAACAAGAAGCTACTTCATTCGCTACAGCGTKATGATCAAAAGTGACTCATTCTTTTGTTAATATGCAGGAACACTTCGAATACTGCGTTAAAGTGCCTATGACGCCTGACAAAATAATTTCTGATTCTATGTGAGCTGATTCTATATAAAGTAAATAATTGAATGGTGAAATATTTCTGCATTTCAGTGTTGCGTCTTTGAGTTTTGAAGGTTTAATCTTCCAATATGCTAATGATAATGACGTCAAGGGAGGCTTCATTAGATATACGATCTTTGAAACAGTTGCTTAAAAATGTTTTCATGAACTTTCAAAACTCAAAGACGCAACGCTGAAATGCAGAAATATTTCACCATTCAATTATTTATTTTATATAGAACCAGCTCACAGAAAATCAGAATTGTTTTTGTCAGGTGTCATAGGCACTTTAAACAGCCAACCAATTTATGGTTGATAAATAAACAGCAGTGTAGTGAAGCCATACCGACAAATTCAAATGGAATTTGTACTGGAATTCCAACGAATTTGCATGCCGACGCTGATTTGGTGTTGTCGTTTCTGTCGATGAAAACTTGATCGAACTACTTTCCAGTATCCTCCTCAAAACCGAGCGAACTCCGATCATTCATTCAAAGTTCCTTCGTTAGTCTCGAAAAAAAGTTCTGTGATGTTCGCGTTTTGATTGAWGGAAGGCGAAACCCAAGTGCGCGTTAGCATTTGCTCTGATCTGTGGAGTCGTCGCGTTTTTACAAAACTTGTAGGCACTATAATCTGCATGAAAGCTGGTAGAGCGCAATCAAATACAGTTTTTATGTTTTTCCCGTGCTTTTAAACCAACTGCTGCTTTACGTAATGCTCGCGTATACTACCCACCTGCAATGCACTACTATTGGTCCAGGATCTCCGCCAATAGACGCCCTTACACGACGAATAAAGGCCAGTAGTGACGTGGCATGGGATGGTACACCATGGTCTGGCCAGGCAGTGTAATGGTACTGGACAACTTGACGTGGTGGCTGCTCTTCGTTATCGTTCTACAATGAAAGACATAGTTGTTGTAATGGCCTTTACACTAATGACGTCATGTTGTTTCTGTGAATTGCATCATGGTATTGATAAAGATGGCGGGGTTTATGTAGAAACCTCTGAGGACGAGGTTTCTTTGCCTAATCAACGTATCTGTTGCTTTAAAGAACATTAATTTAGATCCCAATATATTGGAGTATACTATGAGCCTTGTTTGGGAAATAAGAAATACTTGTTGCTTGTGCTAGCCTGAGTTTCATCCAGCGTTTACTCGTAAATAAACAGGATGTAAGCAGGCTASTTGCTTGCAGAACAGCATGAAAAACAACAGAAAAATAACAAGGCTCGGTTCGCTATTCGTCAATCCCGTGATGCATCTCGACGACATCATTACCGCAAACAACCATTCTGAAAATATTATCAACTTTACTCAAGTTTTATTCAAAGACTGAAGATTCCCATGCAAACCAACACTAGCAAAATACTCTACGACTACAATGAAGAATTTAAAATAGTTACCATGGCAATTGTGAACTTTCGTATGACGTAATGGGACAGTTCTTCCTCCTCYAGAGGTGTGACGACAAAGGAGCCGTACTCCTCAGGACTGGCGCTCGGCCAGTATTTCAGACACTTAACCTGATATCAAAGACGATGGATAAGATACAAATCAAATAATAAACTTGACATATAGACCAAGCATAAACAAATATAATGAAAAAAAAATAAACAATAAGACTAGAAAATATAAAAAACTAGAGGAAAAAAACAACGAACAGAATAGTCTTCTTCACGGTTCCTGCGCCATTTTGAAAAGTAATCGTGCCTTTGCTTTGAAGCGAGACGACACAYCTACAGACAATTATTCACAGGTATCTATCATTGCACSTTCAACGGATGTCTCGCTTCGATGTWAAGRCACGGYTACCTTTCAAGATGGCGCTGTTAACCGTGAAGGAGACTATTAACCAGAATACACGATAAGCAACCAMTAGTAATAAAGATCTTCGAGTTAATACCTTTCCCCGTTCAACAATATTCGTAACCATAACAACAGCAGTACACGAGTATTCCCATATCATCCTCCAGAAGTCGTCAAACGTGTTTGAAACAGGTCCTGAAAATGACACAATTTTTCCATTGATTCTCAAAGAAATCCAACCTGTGTACGATGTGGTGGAATTCGTAGAAAGATTCAGGATTTTTGCCCATGACGGGACGCGTGTAGCGTATTTAAAAGTTGAAGGAAATAGGGGAGGTGCATTGACACACTGACTGAATGAAGTCTGATCAAAAGTCAATACTCCAGTTTCGAGATCTTAACCTCGAAAGCATGTAATATTTAGAGGATATTACATGGGCGCGCGGAGATACGGAATTATATCTTCGAGTGTTGAAAAGATCTCTCACGAGTGAGCGTAGTATCTCCAAACGACCATGTAATATCCTCTATTTCACCTATTCAGCAGACGAGAATCTATTGTAATGCAAACACTCTGTGTACGAAGAAGACAATAAAAATTTATGCTTGATTGAAGCTAAGCTTGCACAAAAGAGAATTCGAAACTGAAGTATATGYCCTCTTATTGAAACACACTTGACGTCATAAAATCTTCAAAACTCAARTGGACTCGATGGATTAACTTACCCTGCGTACCGATGAACTTCTTGGGACAGTTRTAACCCTGAAAGAACAAATTTACACCGTTACTATCAACTGATTTCTGTTATCTAACAGATGGGGAAAAAACACCACTTACATCAACAAAGTTGGCGTTAATATAGTYAGACGAATTGACACCTTCGATTTCTGAAAGAATCACTCTAGTGTGGTCATCTACAGAAAAAAAGAAATTCGTTAAAAGATCTCAAAAAATTGAGCCCCATCCTTCTTACTTTTGCTTTAGCAATTTCATCCTTTTTCCAATTTCACCTTCTTTCCGATTTTTCTTTTTCTCTACTTTTCCCAGTTACATTTTTGACTTTCTACTTCTAATTTCCCATTCCAGCTTCTACTTCTAATTTCCCATTCCAGCTTCTCTTTTTTTACTATAAACGTCCCCATTTAAAGAGATATACTTACAAGCTAAAATATTTTGATATCTGTTTTTGGGTCTGTTATTGTCTCGTATACTGATTTCGGAGGATAGCTCAGCAGGACGTATAGACTATATGAAAAAAAATGAAATAAGGAACAATATAATCTCCACGGTGAACACGTCGAAAGCGTTTATCATTAGAATACACAATGATATCCCTTCTTGAATAATCACTATATCTTTTTTCATGAATCTAAGACRAAAAAGTCCAAAACGCGCATACGAATGCATGTACGACAAATCTACCATGAATTGCGCGAATTCCCGCAAACTTTGCTTCGTGTTAAGACTTCTTATTACGTGATATACCGCGTGCACGTTAGCTGTTTATCAGTGAATTTGGTAAACCTCGACCGYATATACCTATTTCCAAAAATGTTGTCGGATAAAATGGCGAATGTCACTTGTCGAACGGCGATTGCACGACCGAAAGTAGCCATGGGTTTTGCTAATTGATTASAAATAACAACTGAAAACAACTGATTTGTACTGTAAGATGCGGTTAACATTTGCTCCATTTTTTGGTCTTCATTTCTATGAGGATTTATCCAATAAGTAAAATTTTGTTTTTCAAAACAGTGTARCCATAGWCCCTTTCGGTCGTGCAATCGCCGTTTCCGGTTTTCCCCAACAACATTTTTTGAAATAGGTGTATTTAAATTCTAATTATCCAAACACGATATGGTGMTACGCGCTTATTTAAACATGCGCACCCCGTGCATATAAGCGTCGGCATAGCATGGGGAGAACTACAGTAAAGACCCGCGTATAAGAACAAGTGGATTAAGAACACCCAGGCCTGATTTTAGGAAATAAAGTACCATTTATATAAGAACACATTCAGCCTGAAAAATGAAAGTTGTTCTTATATGGAAAAATATCAAAGATCAACATTACTTTTCATTGCACACACAATAGTTCCACCCCAATTTTATGTAACAAAATATTAAACAAAATAAAAATATGTACTGTTATATTGATTTCATCAATTGGTAGCCTAGTATGTTCCTTATTTTTAGAAACTTTTTTAGAACACTTAAGAAAACTTACAGGCTGATTTTGCAGATTATAACCCTTTATATAAGAACCAAATTAGCCTGAACCGCCAAAATAGGTGTTCTTATACGCGGGTTTTTAATGTATGGGAACCAATGGGTGTTGCAGCAACGGGAATGAAAAATTGAACAATGAGAGAAATAAGTCACGAGACACTCACTATGAACTCTTCTCTAAACAACTTGTTGTTGTTGGCATGGTTGAGCCTGCAGTAGTCGTAGAGCTTGTTCAGCGGTATGGGTCTCAATGTAGCAAACCCGCCAGGGCCAATCACTTCTGTAGAACATTACAAAAACTAGTTTAAAAACACTGAGTACTGGAAATACTGAAATTTGGATCGTTTAAAAAAAACAAATACTTGTAACATCGTTGTGTTACSTTATTGAGGCAATAAAAGTTACAGTTGAACCTCTATTAAGCGGTCAGTCGCCTGAAAAAACAGCTGATCGCTAAATAGAGGTTGACCCATTTATATAGGTCAAGTTAACAGAAAATATATATATGAGAGTCGAGTTTGATGAAAATTGTTTAAGACAAGTAAATGGAATTGTAACCGCTAAATAGAGGGCCGCTAAATAGAGGTTTCACTGTGGAGGAATTGCGTTCATTAATTCAAATTTTATTCATTCGTTTATTTTGTTTTATTTGTCCACTATATAGGCATCGACGCCATTTTGTACAACAACAGCATGACGGGATATTATCGCAAAAACTAATTGCGTAATAACACTCGAACATTCTATACTCGAAATAGACATGATTATAAAAAGGACGATTATGTATTCGATTCTACACAACGATATAAATCGACAAAAAAATTAAGATGCCACTTTGACTCTGATGCCAACATAACGATCATGCAACGCCTTGACTTTTAGTGAAAGGAATCGCGATCAAGTGTTCGATTGTAGTGAAATGAATCACGATCAAATCTTCACTTCTAGTGCAATGAATCACGATCAAGTATTCGATTTTAGGGAAATAAATTACGATAAAGTATTTGATTCTAGTGCAATGAGTCACGATCAAGTATTCGATTTTAGGGAAATAAATTACCATAAAGTATTTCAGATTCTAGTGCAAGGAATCACGATCAAGTATTCGATTCTAGTGAAATGAATCACGATCAAGTGTTCGATTCCCTAATCACAATAAGTCGGTTTTCCTTTTAAGCAACAAAACCGATCATCGAGCTAATACAAAACAGAAATGCGATATCTTAGCCAAAACAATCATATCGTCATATTTCAAAATTATTCCTTTTCCTCCCCAGGAGAAAATCCTTTACTGCAGCGCCTCTTACAAACAATTTCCAATCAAATATTTATCACTCTCGGAAAGTCAAACGAAACGAACAAAATGACCAAGTCTGATGAATGGGAAAATGTGATTAGAACAGCTAACCGCCGCTGAGTACATTTATAAAGACGGCAAGASGCTGAAAGCTAAAAAGGTTAATTTCGAGGGAATGACACTTACGCAGAGAGAAAGCGCCGAAAGCTCTTTGTACGAGATGTTTGCTTTTTTTTTCTTTCTCCATCCGAACAAAAGCGAAGTACCAAAAACAACTAATATAAAAGGGATTTTATGTTTGCGCCTGTTATTTGGCTGCAATAAAGAAAAAGTTTGCGCCTGTTATT